GTCTATTGAGGGGCCTTTGAGCCTGGACACAAGCACTTCTGTTTTCGTCGAGTCCTGCTCTATAAAGGTCACGTTTGCATTTTCACAGTCAGAAGATTCCTGTGTGCGGGGGGCCTGTTGCAGACATTCTGAAGGGAAGCATCCAACTTGTTCCCTGTGTGCAGGCCTGGTCCCTAAGCCTGCAAAACAGGAACATGTAGTACAGGGGCAATTGCATGAGCCCTACTATACCTGTGCCTACTTTTTTTTTTTTATGTGGATGGCTTTGCCAGTACACCAAGTCAACTTAAATACTGGATTATAAGAAACCTGCGCCTCCTTTACTTGGCAAGAGGCCTGGGAAATCACTTTACTAAGAAACAATGTATTTTGCCTTAGAACTGGAGTGGCTTTACTTCAGTCATAGATATGCAGCAAGCAGTGATTAAAGAAACAGAAGTGGCTTTAACCATTATGTATGCCAAGGGACTCAAATAGCTGCATAGTACAGGACAGGCTTGTGTTTTAATTCTTTGATACATGATATGGCACCACAGTAATCCATTAAACATGGTGGTGTGGAGTCTTGACACTGAAGTTCACTTGTTTTCTTTTGCTGGACACACAGAAAGAAAATACTGAGGTCTTCTTAAAGAAGAACCACGACTAGATCATACAGAATGAGAAATTTAAATCTGTTTCTGATTAATGCTGGCAATTATTATCGCATTTATTACAAAGCAGAAATCAGCCTTTGGTCAAGGCCAGCCTTTTTCATTCACTTAAATAGCCAGTGGTGCTAGTACAGTGTAAACCGAACAGGATTTGGCTCTGGCATTCAAGCACAAGCTACTCTTTCACAACCACCCCCTTCTTTTTCTGCCTTTTCCTTGTGAGCAGTAAATCTTTCTGGGCATTTTATTCTATGCTCCCAAATGTTGTCAGAATCTGCCAAGTACAAGGCTCCAGTTTCTTTTTGTAGTGCAAGAATTTAGCAGTGGAAGTTTCTATATGTTTATGAAACACAGATGCAGGTTTTAAAATACTTGGTAGTGCTTACATAAAGTTGTAGAAAAATCTGAAAAAAAAAAAAGTTTATTTTTCTGTACATTATTTCAGCTCCAATTAATTTATGTTTTCTGCTGGGAAAATAATATTGATCATAAAAATGAAATGCTGGTTGGAAATCCTTAGGCTTCTGTAATAGAATATTTCATTCAGGATGAAATGTGAGAATTACAGGCTTGATTCTGCCACTGCTGAAGCTAGTGGCTAAATGCCCAATTGCCTTCAATTGGAGCAGGATCGAGTCTTCTTTTTTGCAGAATGGTATCTTGAACAGTGAATAATCCTTAATCTCTGAAGCACTTCCATTTGGTAAAGTTTTAGTGCTGTTTCAAGCCTGGAGCCATTTGGCTGAAATTGCACTTGATCTACTTTCTGGAAGTCTGCTTTCTATGTCTGCTTAGGAGTCTGTTTCTGTATTCTTAAATAGAAAAGAATATATTTATTGCAGCTACATCTCTAGATTGTTTGCCTATCATGTTTGAAAACAAGAAAGGTATATGTGACAAGATGCTGTTTCTATGAAGTGGGCTCCATGTGGAACACATTCCCTTAGTGCAGTCAGGTGTGTTTGAGACAGATAGGTGAAAGGCCCCACATTCTTGAAAATAGTATTTTGAGCATTTGAGGTGTGATTCGTATTTATTTATTTATTTTAAAGAGACAACACAAATTATCAGCTCATAAAGATAGTGTGTATGTTTCTTAGCTTGGATGCTGAGCTCTGAGGTGTTAAAGGCATGCTATTTAACTTGGGTACTGTGACATAAAAAGTGAACCTTGAATCTTTCTGGAGGTTCACCCACCTAAAACATAATAAATGGGACATAGGATCTTTTAAAAATGTGATTTAAAAAGAAAAAAAATGTAATGGAAATTCAGACTTAGTTTCCTCTTCAAGGTTTTTACTGCAACCAAGAGAAAACAGACTTATTTTTCAGCAAAGAGGAGTTTGGGATTCTCATAAGAACTCCAGAAGTCAGACACTTATAAGTAGAAGATTAAGTGTCACAGGATTTGCAGTAAAATCATGAGGGATGAGAGTAGTGTATATATCCAACAGTGGTTTGCAAAAACTGAAGACCTTTACTTCAGAAACTGTGTATGTTTGGGGCTTGATTTAGCTGCTGATTATGAAGTAGTTGTTCCTATTAATTTCCAGTAATAGTCTTATGGTATGTTCCAGGAGAATTTAGCTCAGAAAGTTCAGATTGAAATAGTAAGTGATAACAAAAAAATTATTGAGAAAGTGGTAAATAATTGCAAGTTGTATTATTTGATGAAATATAATGTGGGCTAAGTTCTGAACTCTTTGCTGGACCCTTACACAGGTAAACTGCTGTTGAAATGAAGGCTCTTTTCCCTCCCTTCCTTCTGACCCCTCTGCTTTGCTTTTCTCTTTCATAGACGCTGCCTGAGGCCCAACACAGATGTATTGGGACTAGGGGTAGACTATCACCCATTTTTCAGAGGAAGTCTTCTTCCTCAGGCTCCACAAAATGTCCTGTGGAGACTGTAAAACCGCGTGTAGGGGTGAACAGACCAGCTTCAAATAGGGATCTGTTGTTAGACCCATGACCCAGCCCCCTAAAAACCTGATAGAAAAAGTGATGTAAAGTTCTGCTTTTCCTTTTCACAGAATCCCTAGAAGAGATTCTTGTAAAGTCATGGAAGTACTAGTATCACATTTCTGTGCAAAAGTGTCAGAAATAGGGCTGATGGAGATATAAACAGAAAGCTTTTGCACAGCTCTGGATCTAGCTAGTGAGTTCTTTTGCTCCACCGTCTATTCTTCCTGTAACCAAAGGAAGTATCAACATCTGTGCTCTGCGATAGATATTAATCTCCCATATAGTTTTTTTTAGATCCTGTCCTCTCTTCCATAGAAACAAACCACTTTTGACATACATGGAGATGGTAGCATCTCCAGGTGATGTCGAGGCTGAGATTCTCTTTTGTGTTTATGTTAAACTCTAGTTAGTGCTTAAGGCAGCTGTTTATGCATCAAATAACTAACTCTCAATCCAAAAATAGTCCCTGTTCTGTCTGCCCAAAGATCTGATGCCTTCCAATTCCTTTTTAATACCTGGTGCTTTAAGTCTTGTAAAGTTGACCTACTAGCTTGTGTTTTCAGAGAGAAACCTCTAAGACTTTTTCAAAGCTGCAGTTTCTGTACAGTGCCTCTGCTGTGGTGTGCTGGGAAGCGTGATGAGAGTTGTCATTTTTGAAGTCTGTGATTTTCCCTCTTTCCCTTTTGAAGATGTAATACTGTTTACCTGCTTGTTCTGTGTCTGTCCCACAAGAACGTTTATGCCTCTCCTATAACGATGTGTAGAAGGCTACTCTGTTCAGCAAAATTTAGTATATTGCCCCTTTGGATTGAAAATAGAAGTAATTTCAGAAACACAGAGGGTGGGGTCTCAGTTTTGTCATCAGTGTTATGGGAAGCCTGAAGTTCCATCTCATGTTAGAATTTTGTCTTGTTTGGCATATCTCTCCTGATAAATGAAAGTGAACTGAATAGCTTCTCTGAGTCATCAGTAAATAAAAGCTCATGGGATTGACAGGGTTTCTTTCAGTCAATGGACCTGGAAGGTAGCAATCCTTTCTAGGCAGCATTGTTGTTCTTCTATATCCTCCTGCGCATGAGGAACAGTAATTATGATAAGCATGATGAATGTGTCAGACTGCAGGGTCTGGCAGTCTTCTGGAAATCCGGTTGTTTGTTTAGACCTGTGAAAGAGCTACCCTTCTTCTGTACTTTGTAACCGGAGCAAAAAGTAAATCAGAAGATAAAGTTGTTTTGGGCGTAGATCTTTCTCCTTCATACATCTTTACCCTTCCACCATCCTCACTGTAGATGAAGAAGGCCCTTCAAGGCAGTGCTGCCTGGCTTCATAGATCTCAGCTATTCTAAGGCGAGATCAGTGGACAGATGCTGCCTGTGACCCAGATAATTTGGATATGGTAGTTACCATTTCTCCTTTCAGCGCTATACTGTTTCAAATGTCTGTTCCTTGATATCTCCAAATGTCTCACTTTCATCTTTATCCTCACGTTGATTAAAACTGGAGTCCTGATCTTGCCATATGAAATCAATACATGGAATAGATACATGGCTGCCGTTATTGGCCAGTGTCTTATAAGCATCTTGGATGTGCTTTCAGAAGTAATGTAAAGGAGGAAGTAGCAATGTGTTTATGGAACACATCAGGAGAATATGTCTCGTGGATAAAGGTGAGGGAGAGGAAAGAGATCATTGTTGGAGAAGTGAATAAACAAGATAATCTGCACAGCAAATTACTCTAATTAGTGACTGAGGGCACTTAATAGGATAAGGGCAGAAAGGAGAGAAGTACAGGTATGTGATATTGGCATCAATCTTGAAAGGTTTTACCTTCATGGAGTGTGGGTCAGTGAAACACTTTGCAAAGGATGCAGAAGACTCGGAGCAATAGGACTGGCAGGTGGGAAGGAGCAGCATAAAGATATGGGAAATGAAGTTGAAAATTATTTCATGAAAAAAGGGGAGTAGGAGGGATGATGTGGAGGGAAACATTTTCAGCTAAGAAAAATGCCTATTATCTTGCATACTTTGTTTCTGTTTATGCAGCTGTATCATGCTCTAGGCCAGAACTGTATTTTCCTCTGTGTTTGGAAGGTACCTTGCATGCTTTTGTATGCTACAGAAAGCAGTAGATGCCATACAGTAGGCTATTATTATCTACCTAATAACAATCTAGGTTTGAAGTAACATATCAGAGTTTTTTGTCTATGAAGATTCTTCCACCAAAATCTAGGGTTTTTGTACATGTGAAAAGTCCATGTGAATTTTTTCCTTAAGTTGACTGAATCTTCAGCAATGAAAGAATATTTGTTTAGTCTATAATTTTGTTGTCCAGACCTTGCTCTAATGGTGAGTTATTTATTTTACAGTTGGTATTTGCAAACGGGAGATGCTCCAGAAGAAGAAGAATAATGCTGTTTTGGTGGATGGGGTCATCCTAAATGGTCCAATAATGGACTCAAAAGCAGGAGAGAAGTTTGTGGAAGAGGCCTGTAAGATTATAATGGAAGAAGTCATCCAGAAAGCTGATGATGTAACAGGAAAGGTAAAGCCATAGCGTCTTGCTGAGAATTTGTAACAGAGATAATGAATAGTAAATCAATTTTTTTTTCTAAGCTGTATTTTATTGCACTTTAAGTAGCCTCAAAATTGCTTCTAGTCTGTGCCTGGCTCTGAAATAAAGAGACAGCCTTACAAATTAAGAAAGATCATATTATAAAACCTTTCAATAACATAATTAGCATACATATTTGCCAGAAAATAATGAGTTTTTTCATCTTGGAGTACAATGGTCACTTTCTTTGAGATGACAAATGGGTGTAGTGTTTTTCTTGTTTGAGGTGGGGGGAGTTATTTGTTTGCTCCTCAGGGGGACTGGTTTTGGAGAAGGAGGAACAGTGGATACAGTACCGGTGTGAAAGAGCAACATTATGAGATGGCTAAGGGTTTTGCAGAACCCCTGCTTAAGAGGCTGTATGGGAAGAGGAGTTGCAAATGAATCATGTTTGCCTTTGGGCGTGCACTGGTTGCTCCCACCCCTTGGCAGAACAGCATCTAAAAATGCTGTTATTACAAATCCTTAGTGAACGGCAGAATTTGACCTGCAGGCCTCTTGCTTTTCTGCCTTCCAGCATTCCCTACTCTAATTTTTATGGTCAAGCAATGCCCAAGACACAATAAAACCAAGATCCCGAGACCACTTTACCCGAAATACTTTCTGGTGGCATGCTGCCCTGCAGTGGGCAGTTTTGTGAAACCAGTGCTGAATGTGGTGCTTACCTTGTAACTTTATAACCTCTTCCTCTTGGCTAACCTGTTCATTGCTGGTGTCTTCCTCCTCCCCATCACTAGGTTTGTGAATGGCGAGCCCCCGAAACACTGAAACAGATTCTTGACCTGGAAATGAGGGACACTGGAGAATCTCATCAGAAACTCTTGCAGATCTGCCGGGATGTTATACAATACAGCGTCAAAACCAGTAGGAATGTGATTTCTAGTGAAGTTATTTTGTATGCTAACTTAGGAAGACAGGATAGTGTTTACAAAGTTCTGTCACCTTTCAGGAAATGGGGGGTGTGAATGTTTGTTTTCTGCCTGCCTATACAAGTATGCAAACGTTTGGCTGTGCTTCTGTTCTTTGACTGAATGCCGGTCACCATAGGTTTGACTAAGATGTGTAATCATGGCAAACTAATTGAAAACTAATTCCTGTAATGCCATTGACATTAATGGTAGATTCTGTCATTTTGAAGTCTTGTGAAAGTCACCTGTATGGTATAACAGTCTAGGAAAACAGGCAGGAGAAGGGCCTGCGTGTGTGATTTCCTGCTGTCTGAGTGGTGAGGAGTGGAGTTGCCATCATTGCCCTCATACATTCTTAGTGATGATTACCCTACATTTACTATTTATACTATAAGACTATTTCGGAGCAATAGTCTTATAGGGTGTTAATTTGCTAATAGGCAGTAACTCCTGTTCCAGACACTAAGAGAGCCTGCAGTGTTTCAGAGACAGTACACCACATCTCTGCAGGATTAGTTCTCTACAGCTAACCTTTCTGCAGCATGTATAGTATAATTCAATCTTAGCGAAAAGGGATGAACAACATCTGCTCAGGAAATAGCGCTGTGGATCAGTAGCTCAGAATTTCAGATGTGGCGTGGCTTAGGCTGTGTTTTGTAAAGTGCAAAGGACATTTGATATAGTTAGTTGTGCATTTCCAGGGCATGTTGCTTGCTACAGTCACTGTTGCTACAAAGTAAAACAGTAAAATAATTTTGAGAGTGAATGCATGCCTTTGAAAAACATAGAAAAGTAGCAGTACTGATCTACAGGGGGAGTGCACTAATAATATGCAGATATAATTACTGAGTTACTGGAAGCTGTTCTGTTTGTCTTTTGCAAATTGCCTTTAGATTTTCATTTGTTACACTATGTCACCTTAAAAAGGGTATTGTATATAAAAATATGCTGTACAAATGCTGTCTTTAATCTAAGTATAAACACTTATTGAAGCCCCAGATATAATATAAATGGAGCCATACAGTTTACCTGGTTTTGCATGTAAAAGTACTATGCTGTGGATTAAAATTTAGGTGGTGATCCCACTGCTGAACTAACTTGTTTTTATGGTCAGCAATAGTATAGTATTTTCTCATAATTAGTTATATCTCAGTGTTTGAAGGCAGGTTAACAGATTCTCTTAAATTACCATTCTAAGTCTCCAGCAAGTTTTTCCAGGCTGTTATACTGCCTCTCCCTCTCTTTCTCTCTCAATACTGAGACTTTGGTGGGAGCACAGGCACAGCTGCCTGGGACCAGCAGGTTCCTGTATTCACACTGCTTAGCAAAATTTGGCTGAGCATCTGTTGTGGCCTCTCAAGACCACTGTTAAAAGCCACTGTGTCTACTCAATTGTCAGTATCTTTTCTTTTTTTTCTGATTTGTAAGCCTTGTGAACAACCCACATTCATTCTGTGCACTACTTACATTTCTCAAACCTTGTTTTGGGACCTGAAAGTGCTTATTAAATTTACTTTCAAAGGATTGTCTAACCTATGAAAAGGACAGTAAGTCCAGAAAATATGGAGAGAATGATGGAGTTAATTGGGGTTTGCAGTGATCAACGTTCAACTGAGAGGGCCTGTGATATATTCTCTTTTCATGTATATCCTGTCACTGCTTGCTTTTCATCTGTATTTTCAGGTCATCCAAGATTTTTCAATCAGCTGTATGCTGGAATAGATCATTACTCGTTAGTGGCTCGTTTCATTACAGAAGCACTGAACCCAAGTGTGTAAGTGTAGTTCCTTGTCTTCTTGATGATGAATTAGCATGCTTTTTGGAATAACAGCTTTTTTTGCTTCCCCCCACCCCCTTGAGATTTCTGTTTTCAGTGTTACAGAGGAGGTAGGAATTGTGCAGGAACTTGGGAGAGAAGACAGTCTGGATTGGCTGAATAGCTCACCAGAAGGTTGGCTAATATGATGTGGCCTTTTTTTCTAGTTTGTGAGGTGGGGCTTAAGAGGAGAGATCTTTGTTTTTTAATGCTTTTAAACATAGACTTTTATCTTACTTAGTGCATAAGAATGAATCAATCAGACTTACTCAGTTGTTCATTTCCTTTGAAGAATTCTGCACAGAGCTGAATACAAATGGTTACCTGTCTACTGTTTACTTGCAAATGTAAAGCCTAAACAAAAAGTAGTTGTTGCTTGCAATGGATCATTATAACTGAAACTTAAGTGTATGACCTACATTAAAAGCAAACTCTGATGTATGACTTCGAGAGTGGAAGTGTCAATGTGATGCTGTTGGGAACTAAGCAATTGCTCTACTGCGTCAGATCTGTAGTGTTTTTAGTTTAGAGTTTTACTGCTGGTGGTGATCAGCTTCTGATAGATGAGAGAAAGGTGCAAGAAACCTCTATCTAGTTTTAGCAATGTTCTGTGGCATGAGTTCTGTAGTCTTAATATCAATCATCATGCTTCTATTTTGTTCAGATATACATATGAAGTGTCCCCTGTGTTTCTGTTAGTGGAAGAAGCAGTCATCAAGAAAATGATTGAGTTCATAGGCTGGGAAGAAGGTGATGGTATATTTAATCCAGGTAAGAACAGTTCAGATTTCAAGCTGAGTCATTATAAACCAACTAATACCAGTAATTCCATGAACATTGGATTCATGTAGAATATTTGAAAATGCATGCAAAAATCCAGTGATGCATGCACACAACTATTTAATCCAGGCTTATCTTATGTGTTTCTAGTAATAATTCTATGAATCTGATCAGCAAATCAATGAAAACAGTTCTACATTAAATATAATTATATGGAAATTAATTATTTGTAACTGGTGCTCTTCCTGACCTTATTAACAACAATACCAACAGCCTCATTGGACTGAGTCAAACTGGTTGACAGATAGGGAGCTGTTTTACATGCTATACACCAACCAGTGGCGCCTGAGGGCACCGATCTGTGTATCCTGCCTATCAACTATGGGAGCTGGAGTTTATCTTAGTAGGAGTGTCATGAGCTTAACTCCTTTGGGTTTTGATAGGAGTATTTAAATGTTACAATAAGGCCAACCAAACAAGTATTTCTTAAGCTTCTTGATAAGCCATGGTTTTCAAATGTTCTGGAAAGCAGCGTTCCAGCTCACTGTATTGAAATAATGAAGCATAATGATATTATTCCACAGATTATTCGGATAACAAATTATTAGGCTAGATGTGAAGCTTTTCTATCTAATTTAGGGGTGAGAAGAGAAATTAAATGAGTAGATGGGTTTAAACCACCCCTCCAAAACCAAAACAAAGTCAGTAATTCTAGCCTACATGTGAGTAGTAAAAAAATAAACAAACTAAAATCCCCTAATTTTTTTTTTAATATATTAATGGTATGGATTTTTTTTTTCGTATCAGATTTGATGTGTATTTTCAGTAGAATCCTTGCTTTTACAGCAGAATTGCTTAATTAAAACTTACTGAGATACTGTCAAAAGATAAACGAATTGTATTTTTTTGTGCTAGTTTTATGTAAGGGTTTTTCTTATTATTTTGGTTTTGTTCTTTTACGTGAATAGAACCTGTCCAGATCTTACCTTGCAGATCTTCCAGTTCCCACTCACTGTGGTTTTTTTCTAATGGCTTTTTTTCTCCCCATAATACTCTGAGGCCTGGTTGCCCAAGAGATCTCCTGGGCTCTGTACGGTGCAGCCACAGCTGAGCTCAGTGCGGGCAGCTGAGCTGGCACTGCTTCCGTGTAAATGGGAAGGAGCTGTTGCAGGGTATTCTCTGTCAGGGAGGAGTGTTTGGGCACAGTTCTTATTCTTCAGGAAATATCCCCAAAGAGCATACAAACACGCTCTGTTTCCATGCATGCTGTGGAGCCCAAAGTTCACTTTATGTCTGTAGGCTTTTTGGGGAGTAAATAAGCTATGATGCATCTATAGGCTATAACTGTATGGTTTAATTTTTCCCTAATAGGTCAAGCACTCAGACGCAGGAGAGGTGCTAGGACTGTGGCTAATATGATATTTGTATGTCTCTTTCTGCAGGTGGCTCTGTTTCTAATATGTATGCTATGAACTTAGCAAGATACAAATTCTGCCCTGAAATAAAGGAGAAAGGGCTTTCAGGTTTGCCAAGACTAGTCCTGTTCACTTCGGAAGAGGTAAAAACAAAACAAAAAAAGCTTTCTGAACTCTATTTTTCAATGGCTGCAGAATTATATCATTTGCATATCTGATGGGGCCTGGTACAATAAATTTGTCATCAGTGTATGAGGTGGAATATTGGAGCTAAGGGGAGAAGTCTGATGGTAAATTTCCCTGCAGAAGCTTCCTTGCTTGCAGAAAACAAACACAGATGTTCCTGCTCTTGGAAACTGCTGATACAAGAATAGGCTGTACGTGGGGCAAACCTGAAGCAGAATGCATGTGGTGTGTTGTGGAGGTCTGCAGCATTTCATTTCCCATAGTGTAAAGCCTAGCAGGAACTGTAGGTAGGTTTTGGATGTCAAAGGTTTTTTCTGCAGGTTTAATTTGTACTAAGCTGAGCACTTGCGGACCTGTGAGATGGCTCTCTGCAGCTCCCACTCTGCCCTGTGTCTGAATACAGATTGGTTGTGGTGCAGAACCAAACCCACCATAAAGCATTTTGGAAAAAACTGCTGGATCTTTAGACAGTTCTTCTTTAATAATTAAAAATATGTGGCAAGTTTTAAAGTTTTTGAATAATATCTGTCCAAACTGCCTGTGGGAAATTGCGTTGTATTCATACATTTATTCTGAAGCTAGTTTTTTTTAAGGCTTTTTTCTCTCACCTGTCCCTCCAATTTTAAGAGCTTATCATTTGATTAGTACAGTGTTGTTATTAATTCTGACTCTACTCTATAAAGGCCCCAGTGGAAGTGAGAACCTTGTTGTACTAGGAAGTATATAGTTACTAAAATAATCTTAGCTCTTAAGTTTATGCTCCAAACAGTTTGAAGTGTAAATAGACGAGAGGCTTATTTTGAAGAGGCTCGAGGGATGAAGGCATTGCATAAGTTGTCCAAGACAGCATGTATATTTTGGAACTGAATCCAAATGTCCTAAATAAAGGGATTTTTTCTTTTTTCCCCCCAGGCAAAATATATTTAAGTTTTTTTCTTTCTGAAAAGTGTGTATATGAAATGACATGCCAGTTCATACTTAATCCATCACATTACATCTTAAAAATTCCTAAAGAGGAAAAAATGAGGTTGAAACATGTTCCATTAACACTTTTGAAGTGAAGCACATAGAATTTTTATCATGAAGTAACATTTTATTTCATTGCAAGATTTAACTAAAATGTATACTCTCGTACTCTAAAACAAACAAGCATTAAATTTCATGACAAAAGAAATTTTAGAACATAGAACTGAGCAGGAAAAATAAATTGGTAAATTATTTGCAAGGCAATGCTCTTGATCTCTGATATCTTGATTCACAAAACCATGTTGTGTTTAGTACTCAATAATCACTTGCTGTAAAACTGCCACTTTTAGTAGTTAGATATTGTGGCTATTGTCTGAGATCTCTAGTGTTTATTCATGGTTATGAGGGAGGAGATGTGCATATTCATATGTACTTACTTTAGATCCACCTGTACCGAGTCCAAGTTACGTTACCTTTTGGAATTTTGTTTAGTTCAGACATGTCATACTGAGAATATATGTAATAAATGGCCTACACTGAACATAAGTATGTAAGTGCTCGTGTCTCTCAATCTTAATTTTTTATTATTTGTTTTTATTTTGACCCTTCTTCTATTTAGTATTTTGCACTTCTTTTTTTTTTTTAACTGAAGAGGTACCTGGAGAAGCAAATGATTAAAAAAAATGATCCTGGAGAAGTTAACAACCTGTGTTTATCTTTGATGTGAAGCAGGCAAACAGTGTTGGCATGAAGAAGCCATGAGGCTATAATGAACGGAGAGGATTGATAAGGAGTCTAAACACATGGCTGCTCAAGGCACTTGTGTCATTTTAGGGCTTGGCTTCAATACTGTGTTCAAATGAAATGATTTTTGCCTTGAGTTGCCAAATCCCAAAGTTTCAGTCTGGCACTTGGCAGACTGAAAGAGTTGCCTTGCTGTAGAGCAGGGGAATGCATGGACTTGTTAGTGACTTAATCTTAACGTGATCTGGGGCTATGTATCCTTTGTATGTTCTTGGATAACAGGAAGGTGTATGTTTAATGCATGGCTGACCCAAGATCCTCACATACTCTGGCCTTCAGGAATAAAAAGACTCCTTGTTCCTGCAAGCAAGATGTTTAGCTGCTTAAAATTATGGTGATACACAATGAACACTGTTTATGCTACTACTCCATAGTTCTCTTGCTGGACCATTACAGAGTGATTCCTCTTGAGATAGTAGCAGTAGTAGAGAAATTGTTATATCCCACTTTCTTGAGGCATGATTTGTGGCTCTGTAGGAGCTGAGTGCAGTTGTAGTTATAGATGTCAGCCCACCTTTTTATCACTTTTTGCTGTTTGAGTCCCATCTGAACTTTATTCTGACCCAAGAATGTATTGCATTGCTCTGAAGGTAGAAATCTGCTAAATTTGAGGTAACTGAGGGTAGAAGAGGATATGTAAACAGTTGAAATGTGCATGCTGATATGAGCAGTTTTTTAGATGCAATGAAACTAAATTCCTCCCCAGTGCAACTTGATCATGAAAGTAATAAAGTGAGAGAACACAACATTAACTCACCATGTTGTCCCCTGTTGAAATTACAACAGACAAAAATGAGTAATAAAACAATCTCATAATAATGTAATTGCTTTATGCAATCATGTTTCTAGGAAACTTTTCAAAATCAAGAAAATACAAATTTATCTTCTGTTTTAATGAGCACAGGGGAAAGTACCTTGTCTTTGCAAATGTTATTAGGAAACAAAAACTGTCTAGCTATAGCTAAAATAGTACAGCAGCACATCTTAAATGCATTGTTCCAATTTGGTCTTGTGCTCAGAGGCATTCATTTCTTACTACAAATGGCTACAGATTTAATAATGTGTCCAAACAAACAGAACTGCAAAAGACATGGCAAGAGTAATCTGAACTCACAGTATTTAAAATTATTATTTAAAATTACATATATAATCTAGATACAAGTAATACCTTTTATCTGGATGTTTTTTTCCCTTTTTTTGGAAAGGGAACTATGAACAAGTGAAATAGTTGACACTGTTGTGACTGGAGCTGCTAAATGTTCTCTGGTATATTTTTTCTTAAAATGATTTGGTGTAATTTAGCATAATGGCTTCTAGAAATGATAGTGGGGGAAAAAAAAGAAATTCTTGTATGTTTTCAATATCACTGAAAGACTACTTTTTTCATCAGAGAAAGCATATTCCAAGTCTATGTAGTAGTATAAGTCTTGTCCCTTTTCTGTCCTGCTGA